TTTTTTTTTTTTTTTTTTTTTTTTTAATTATTATTTTTTTATGCGGGAGAAGTTGTGCCTCGTAAGTGGCTAGTGTGCAGTGCTGGGCTGAGGGCTCCACTTAGTGCCCAGCGGGAAGGCTGCGTGTTCTTTCTTCCCTCAGGCAGCGGCGCTGTCATGGAGACTGCGCTCAGAGGCTGCGCAGCGGGACGTGGCTCACGAGGTTTAAATGTCTCAAAAAAAAGACTAATGCTTACTTTAAATAAAGAACGTGCCGAGGCCATGGAAAAGCCTGAGAAATCGCAGGCTTGTGTGGCCAGAAAAAAGGTGAAGGTTTTCCTCTCCTGGATGAACATAAAACTGAGGGAGGTTTGTAACACACTTAGGTGGGCAGGTAGGTATTTCCTCCACCTGGCCCAACGATCGTCCTTTCCCACCTTTTCTTTTGCCAAAAGTCTATAACTAGTCTCCTGACTACTGTAAGGAGGGCCTCACACCAGTTTCCCCTTAACAATTTAAAATTCATGCTTGCAGAAATAATAGAGAGCAAACAAATTAATTTTAACATTTGGCGAGAGAAGAAAAAAAACGCCTGTTAATTCTGATAGGCTGAAAAACTGAATAAACCCTAATATTTTTGACATCTGGAAATTTGATTTGAAAGCTACTTAATGAGATCAGACAAATTAGACTTTTAGAGTAATTTTAAAGGGGTGAGTCACTTCAGCTGATGCTGTAATTCCAGTATAGCAAATTAATCATTGGCAGGATTTCACACTTGAAAATTTTGAGGTGGTTTAGGCTTTGGACACTGATTTAACATTTGTGTGAGGTCTTTGCACATAGTGTATCTAGGACAGTCATTTGTGTAGTGCTGTGTTGGCAAAATAATTTGGGTTTAGATAAGAGTATTTTTTTTGAATTGGCCAAGGTTTTCCATCATAGTACTGAAGACTTGAAAATTTGCTTTGGAGGGAGATTTTCTTTCCTTTTTTTGTTCTTGGGAGAGTTGTACTACTGTGCATTTTTCATCTCCTTTTCAAGTTCTAGAAAATACATATATTGATAGATCTTAATTTTGATGTTTTCCCAGCTTGCCAGAATGCTTAAGTAGTCTGTTTATTCTTTCTTTCAGGTACTTAATGTGGGAGAGTGTTAAATAAGTTGATTTTCTTTGAAAAGTCTGCATTATTAGTCTGAGACATGAACACTGCACTTCCATGGCAGCCAATGCCATGTGTGACAGGTGTACCAGCAGTATCTGTGGTTACCAGTTTCTTTGTGCTGGTTCTGGCACTTGCTGGGCCCCTCTGCTGAGAACTGTTTCCTGTTTTAGACTGCTAGAGAGCTTGCACAACAAAGCAAATACGACTTCTAGCTTGGTTCGCTGAAACATCCAGAAAGAAAGAAGTAGAAGCAACAGTTAGGTCAGCTTGAGGGTGCTGTGGAGTTGCCATCTCAGATTTCAGGTCAAATGCCCTTTAGCTTGGTATGCGGCCAAACAAAAGCAGAATACCAGGTGGGTGAAGAACTGCTCACATCATGTTAATCTTCCTGCCAGATTTTGTCGAGCCAGTTTATTTGAACTGACAAGTGTTAGAACTTCTTGTGCAAGAGAAGGTGCAGCAAAAGAGGTAAGGGCAAATCCTGGTAGTAGCAACATTGATCATAAAGCTTGATACAGTCTGGCAAGGCTACTTAAAGTAGTCTAGACTAGGTCTATATTTAAATTTCTGAAACTTATTGGAATAATTACTTAACTTTTTTTCCAATGAATTTGTGCTATTGAAATTCCTTGTCCCGTGCTATATCTATAGGAAACCGCAGGCATTCTGGTGTCTTAAAGTGTATACTTCCAGTTGACTAAAATAAGTATTTCTGTTTAAATCTTTCAGGCAGCACGTGTGGAGACCCAGTGTTCAAACGCCACAGAGGGCAATGCCTATTCTGCACCAGTCAGTCAGGGCTATGTTTTACCAGAAGGAAAAATCATGCCAAACACAGTCTTTGTTGGTGGAATTGACTTAAGGGTACATATATACTTATAATTGTTTAAAATAGGTATAGGGTAAGTCAGTGGAAAACAAATGGAAATTTTGCTCCTGTTTTGGTGTGGGATTTTTTTAAACTTGTTTGGGTGGGGGGCTTTTGTTTGGTTTGGTTTTTTTCTTTTTGTTCTTTTTCCTTCCTGTGTGTGCATTTGCCAATCTTGAAGGCATTGAAATGTCATGGGATAATTCTGGAATGTGTCTTCCAAAACTAACCTTTAGTTCTTAGAGTAGTGGAAAATGGGTGTAAAGAATGGTACTGCCTGCTTTAAATTAGTTCTAAGCAATTGAATGTGTTTGAAGATGTTTAAGACCTTGTTTTCTTTCAGATGAATGAAGCAGAAATTCGGAGTGTCTTTGAACAATATGGTACTGTGAAGGAGGTGAAGGTCATCACTGACAGAACTGGTGTTTCGAAGGGGTAGGTACAATATGAGTGCTTGTTGTAAGTTGCTGCTTATGTGGACAGCATTCTATAATGGCTGGTATGAACAGATACTTACACACTTGACATGCTTAAGCCTTAATACTAGCTGCAGTTGACTGTTGTGGTGTTGTTGGTGTGAAACCAGTAAATCTATACTGCCCCCAACTAAATCTGTATAATCTTACCAGGAGAATAGCATGATTTTTCTGACTTCCGTGTCTCTGTTCAGGGAAAAGCAGCTCCCTGTCACTTAACCATTGGAAACAAAGCTTAACTTGTGTGATGCTTACATGGCCAATTATTTTGTAGGAGTCATCTGCTGGCTAGAGTAGTTAAAAATTTGCTGACAGTTCAGGATGATTAAGAGAATTAAGTTAGTTTATTCAGGGCAGTGGGTTTGCCCTCTCTTGATACTTGGGAATAAATTCTAGAGTAAAACAGTTTCCAAACAGTTTAAGTATGTGAACAAAGTTAAACAAGGGAAATTCTTTGAATATATAGAAAAGTTCTGGAGTACTGTGGTGAAACCCTTAAATAAGATGAAGGACCATACCCTGTTGAGGTCTGGGGATGCCATCCCCAGACTTTAGAGATTATTCCTCCTTATGAGAAGGAAACTCTACCCACTTGAAGTTTCTTCCAGCCCAGCTTTTCTTAGATTGTATGCTTAGATCCTAGAATGTCACATCTTTTTCTTCAGCATATGTAGCAATGAAAGAGGTGGAAATAAAATTGATTTTCTCATATCCCTTGCTAGTCCTCAAAGTGAACCTTGCTGTTCAGTTAGCCAGTGTATGTTATGAGTATTGATAATGACTTATTCCATTAATGGGACATGATTATTACTGTAATGCTCTGAAATGATCTCAATTGTATAGACCAGATAAACAAGGGAGTCAGTGAAATAAATTGAAAGACCTCTTCAAGAATTGCTTCTCTCACTGGTGTTACTGTTCCTATAATACCTGCTTTCCTGACCGCTATAGTAAATACAAAATTTAAAGATGTCAGATATTACTTATTTTTTTTTAACTTTCTGAGTTGCTAATACCAGCAGCAGTATTCATTTTGAAAAGTGAAAATGAAAAAAGTAGCCCTTGCTTCTATTTCACATTACTCTAAAATCTGGCATTTAGTTTCTTTCACTGGCCCCATAATAGATACTGCTAGTGAGCAGTAAATAGATTTTTAGGCTGAATCATAAACTAATGTCCTAGTTGATAATTTTGAAGTGCAATATAGTGTGCCTGGCATGTTGTTAACTGGTCTTGTTCAAAAGAATTTGTCTAACAGTCAAATGAAACTGATTACTGAATAGTCTGTTCTTCCTTTTTAGGTATGGATTTGTGTCTTTCCTGGACAATGTGGATGTTCAAAAGATAGTTGATGTAAGCTCTTTCTCCAAATTACTTAAATAAGTTGATATATGAAGGCTGCAGTCTAGCTTGCAGAAGTCAAGTTCTGTACCCTGTAGAGAAATTAGGACATGGAAAGTCTAGGGCTGACCAAAAAGTAAGCTTTCCTAAAATGTGTACTGGTGGTAACATCTTGATGTATTTGCTTAAGTAAGAAGCAGAACTAGTTCTCAGCTAATTAGCATTTAGACTGGTGTGGTTGAACATCTCATGTTATTTTGTTTCTGATTGCTCTCATTTATTTATGTGCTTGAAAGCCTTGAGTGTTTGGCTGCTTGCTTTTTGTAGTGGATGATTGTCATAGAACCCTTGTGCTTATGGCAGAAGCATACATGTTTAGTTATTGGGATGTCTTGGTTTAAGATAATTCAAATGAGACACACTCTATGTTGAGTAATCTCTCCTTGTGGTTAACCAATTCCTTTCCACCAGTAAGGAGAAACAAATATGGGTAGATATAAGTGAAAAAAAATAACTGTTTACTGATAAAGAAGGAAATAGGAAGAGGCAAAAAAACCCCAGTAATAATAACTAGTTACAAAGTTGCTGAAATTGCCTGGACTCTCAGGGAACAAAGAAACTTAAAATGGTGGAGTGACACCTTCCCCAAAATGGTGGCCTCTGCAGCTGACCGTCCTTGTGGTTCCAAAGACAAAGGGAAAATGGTGACAGCCCTCCCCCTTCTTATCTCTTCATTGATGAATGCAGCTGGCACTCTCCAGCAGCTGACACTTGGTCAAGGGCTGGAGCTCATGGAGGGGTTTTCCCTCCTCGGCAGCAGACTGCCAGGCAGCTGTGTTGGGGTGGCTCTGCTTTCACTTCTGCAGGGCTGCTCCATAGTGGCTGTAGACAGGCACAGAATTCACCTTGAGCCAGTCCAAGATGCAAGAGAGTAACAAAAGGGGGTGGGGGGGAACCCCAAATTGGGGCCTGTGCCTTGAGCAAAGACCGTAAGGCAAGAGAGAGTGTTCTGTTTGCTTCAACTTTTTAAAAGTTAGGGCACTTGCCTCACTCTGTCCCATGGTTCTGTTTTCTGGCTCTAGGGTCTTAGGAGACAGTAACAATTTCAGACACAGATGAAATACAATAACATTTTGGGTTGCCTAGGACATTGGAGTAACAGTATCTTGGAAGACAGTTTTTTACTTATGTCTCAGTAGTTGAAATATGCTTCTCTAGTGATATTTGTGCATTTGGATGCTACCTGGACTGCAAGTATTTTTTAAGCTTCCTAGATAGTGCTGCAGCTATCTGATGTCATCATGAAGCTTTCCTGTAGCTAACACAAGAGATGAAGAGGTGGAGCTGTAACAGTCCTTCTGATCTTAGGAGTTTGGTATCAGAGAAGTTTTAAATCTCAGTGCTTAAAACCAAATCAGTTACTTGGTTCTGATAGACTTGACCACTCCCCAGACTGAATGCAGTAACTGTAAAATAACATGTATTGAAATACTTGCTCTTTGAAGTCTTTGGCTTAGAAAACTCCTGTGTCTCTGAAGGATGAACAGTCTCTCATTTGCTTCTGAAGCTCTTAGACAGGGAAGTAGATCAGAAAGACAAAACCAGATGGGTGTGCAAGGCACAAATGTAGTGTTCTGTGATGTGTAGACGTATTTACTGGGCATCCAGCTCCGTAAGTGGGAAGAGAACATACTTGAATAAAGTGGAGAGTAGTGAAACCCCTGCAAGAGAGCCTTGATTCTTACCAAAAGATTTTAAAGGCTTGCTGTTATTTGATGGTATGATGACAAAAATATACAGTAACTTCTGTACTCAGCAACAGACTTCATCTGAGAACATACTTACCTTTTTACTGTGGATTATGTTTGTTATGCTATATCAGTGTGGAGTGCTTGCTCTGAGACAACAATTTCTGTGGAGACCTCTTCAATAGCATTGACATTTGAGCCATGTACACTGCTGATTTTTTGTGTGTGCTTCTTCAAAACTGGAGCCTGCAGTGTTATAATAATATAGTACTCACTGATGTGAATTTGTATACCAGAGGTATTGGAAGACCCAGTGGCATGTGGTGGATTTTCTTTCCAGTGCACATTTCAGGTCTGCAGGCAGTACAAATTCTTGCCATATCAGGAAGAAGCATGTTCATACAGAAGTAATGTTAGAAAATCTGTTGGCTTTTAGACGGGATGGAAGAAAGAAAAAAATTAACATGGGTGTTGTGGAGCTCAAATTATTTTAAGCAAAGGCTATTGCTCTAAATCTCTTCAGGCCTTACCTGCACTGAATGGTCACAGTGTTTTCTGTAAATGAACACAATAGGTATAGCTAAAGAGAGGCTCTGTTGGTGCCTATGTTAATGTGCCTGTTCAACAAGGCTTTGTAGCCTTGCTCAGTCTGACAGTGTTTTTCTGTTGCTTTAGGTCTGCACTCTGGTCCAGCATGAATCAGTTTGCAGTTCAGAATGGAAAGTTGCTTTCTGTTTAGAGGGGAGGCCTGTCTCCCAGTTCTTCTCATTGTTGAGGTGGAAAACATGAGGTGCATGGTTTTGGGCACAACAGGATTCCCAAATTAATTTAAAAATGCCCAAAATCAACCAAGACACCTTCTTCTGAAAAAAAATAAAAATCAAAAAACATCCACCTGTTAAACTAGTCAGGTTATTGCACCTTTTTTCATCTCCATATATTTCTTGAATCATCTTCTCATACTGATAGAAATTAGAATGAGCAAGATTTCTTTATCATTATACTTCTGCTTATTTTTACCAGCCAACAATAAAGTTGTCTGTTGTCTGTTCAAAGCACTTTCTTTAGCAGAAATGGGAGAAAATTGCAAAAACACTTATGTTCTCCTGAAGCAGGCACCTCTATAGGGTTGTGTGTGATAGAGGATCTAGACAGACTGTCTGCATCCAATACTGACTTTTAATGCTTGGTACTAAAATTATGCTAATAGGGCTAAACCAAAAATCATTGACCAGAAATGTAAGACTTTGGTCACTGTCCGTTAATACCCTCACTCAGACAAGAATAGTTAAAACCTGTGTGCATAAAAACGCAGGGCTGACAGTCGGTGATACATAGTTGCAAATTTGAGTAGTGCGTGTTGCTATTAGGGCGAGTGATACATAATTTTGGAGGGTCAGTGAGTAGGCAGATAGCTGAGCTGAGGGCGCTCTAGGAAACTCAAGATAAAAGGTATATGATATTCAGAGAGGAGACTGGAGGCTGTTGAGCCTTTATGACAGTTGATGTACTGTGGTATAGAAGCAGAGTCCAGTCTCTTTAAAATCACACAAACCTCTCGCCTTGCTGATTCCCAGCTTACAGAGAATAACCTGTCTTTCAGTCACAAATCAACTTCCATGGTAAAAAGCTGAAACTGGGGCCAGCAATCAGAAAACAACAAAACTTAAGTAAGTACATCTAAATAAATTTGTTAATATTGCAGGTGTTATACTAGAACAAGTTTTTTTTCTTAATTATACATCATTATCTTTGTAAATACTTTATAGCTGATGCAATATGTATATTTCAGTTAAACCTTGGTTCTGACTTCTGTGAGCTCACTTGTATGATGTTTTCATAAGAGTGAAGTTGGTACAATACAATATAGTTAATACTGGGTTAATTTTAAGAGTCAAAACCCTTAAGGTTTTTTTTCAACTTGAATTCTTATTCCTAATGAAATACACGTAGTAACGTCTTAATACTATTTTTTATCTCTTTCAAAATAAGATTCCTGCGTGTATCCCAGACAATTAGTTCTTGGTCCTCCTCCACCACAGTTCCAGAGTGTATGGGGTAATCAGGGTATGGAGACGTACGTGCAACCTCCAGCTGTCATGAACCCAGTAACACCCTCTGTTCAGGTAAGGCTGCTCCTGACACTGATTATGAATCACAGTTAAGTATTTTTTGAAGGTGCAAGCATGTACAACTTTTGGAGTATGTACTGAGATTTAAATCTGACCTTACCTGCCTGTTTTCATATTGCCTTCCTCAGTAAGAAGCACCCACTTCAAACCACTTCAAAGGAATGGCAACAACCTTAAAAAATTGATTCATTGATGTTAAACAAGAGGGAGATACCCTTTTAAGAATGAGAACTGTTGATAGTGGAGGGAAGATCGAGTGAGTTACTATTGCCTGTCACAGGTGCAGTTCACAAATGAAATGTATCCAGATATTTAATGTGTTGCTGTCCTGCTTCAGAATAAACTACAAAATATAAAATGTATTTTTATAAAGTAAGAGTGGGATCAGAAGTTATCTCAGGTAGTTTTCTCTCCTCCTAGCCAAACATACCCTTGATTTTAAACTGCTGTTGTGTTAGAAGAATGCTGTGTTACAGCATCTGCTGTTAATAGCTGTGCCCAGCACAGTATTGCCTGCAGGACATCACTGTACTGGTAATTCAGGTAGGCATTCATACTGAGGTATGGGTACGGTGCTTCTGGCCTGGATATGAGTCCTGTGCTGTGAGTGAACCAGATCAGGCTCTCTTGCTGCATTTGCCTGTATGATGGAGCAGTACTGACTACAAACTGATCCTGTTTTGTATATCTTAAGCAAAGAGGGGAGAGTAAACTTGCAGAAATACTTCCTTGCAAGGCAGAGAGCTTGATAATGGTATTCTTGCTGATTCTTTTAAGTTTGTTAATTTAAGAGAAATATTTTTCTTAAATATTGAAATGTGCATTTAACTATTTTCTGTAGAATCTGGGAAGATTCCAGGTTAACACTGTGTCAGAGTACTTACAGGAAAGAAATACTAGGAAATTATCTTAATTGGAATACTTGGCTTCCTTTGCTTCCTAGAAACTGATCCTTCAGACTGTACTCCATTATTTTATAGTAGTCAGTCTGCTTCAGGTCTGCTTCTCAAAGTTTATGGTATAACTTGCACTTCTGAAATTACTTAAAAGTTCAGTTACAAGCAGACATGGGATTTTTAGATATATAAGACACTTGTAATCTCACTTTGTAGATGTTATTAGTGCCTGAAGTACTGAAGCAAGCCCTGTGGGAAATCTAAGGGTTGCTTCTAAAAAGTGAGTCTAGTCTGCACAGGAATTGAAATCACAGTGTAACTTTTGAAAATGTGCTCCTGGCTAATATCTATACAAATATCATACTTGTATCTTGCTTCAAAGTTGTGTTGTTTTTTTTTTTTAAAAAACACTTTATTTGCAGCCCTATCCATACAGTTCATCACCAGCTGTACTGCTAAAGCAGCAAGTTCCCATTGGGTATCAACCGGCTTACAACTATCAGGTATGTAAAATTTTAGTGGAAGCAGAAAGGCTGTTGGATACCTGACAAAACTGGAATGAAGTGTTAACTGGAGTCTGATCTTGATATGCTTCTCATTCTTTGAAATCTGTTTTCCTTCACTTCTTCACAGCTGCCAAAGCAAAAACAGAATAGTGATGAAAACTGTTGAGTAACTTAGTGTATAGTTTTCTTTTGATTGCTTCATTTTTTTGTTAAATATATAGTGATAAAACAACTTTTAAATTAGGAAAGTGCATGAATAAATAGTACTTGTGGGAGGGAACTTTGCATTTGTACATGCTGTAGTTGGGGGTGCTATGTACTTGGAATCAGGATCTTATCAGATGATAGAATGATTGATATGGGGGGGGAATGTGCTCTTGCTAAAATCATCAAGAGAAGGCGTTTAACTCATAGTGGGGTTTGAACTCACAAGTGTGTGGCCAGGTCCTGTTACTGATGCTAAACTAGGAGTAACTGGAAGCAGCTAGAGGCTTGAGATTTATTTTCAATGTAAGTACTTTTGTTTCCCTTATTTTACTAATATTTAAAAATATTTTAATTTTTTTAACTTGGAGTGAGAAGGAGATCATTAATGCATAACATAGCTTATTTCATTCAACTAATTGTTTTGGGAAAAATACAGACATGAAATGCTATAAACAGTAGCTCCTACTTGTCTGTGTTGGAAATGAATGAAAGGTGGTTCTTTTTCTTATCCAATTTCTGTTTAAGGCTCAACCACAGTGGCTTCCTGGAGAGCAAAGAAATTATGTAATACCTCCAACTCCGGTAAGCCCAGACTTCTGAAAAAGTCTTATTAATTAGCACATTGTTTTTACAGCTTGATACTTAAAAAAAGTCTGATTGTTGTCAGGAACAATGTAATCTGGTCTACAAAATCTGTAATTGTTAATGAGAGTTGTAGTTCAGGATTTCTACTGATATGGTGCTTTTTTGAGTTACCTGGCAGTTAATGCCTGTTTTATGGCATTATTCTACATGTTCTAGTCACAGAACTCTGGAATTTTAACCAATTTGGAGTTGGTTTTTCAGGAAAAGTTGGAGGACAAATAATAAGGTGACCCGATGTACCATCTTTTTTTAAATCTAAAAAGTCTTCATATTCTTTGCAAATACTGATGAATTTTTTGCCTCCTTTCAACAGGTTTTAAAATTATTCCCAGGCTGCTACAAACTGTAGATGGTGCTGCTGTCGGCCATCTAAAAAAATTCCTTGCTTTCTGTGACTTAATGCGAGTAACATCCATGAGAAAGGGGGAAAAAATACTCTGTATTTGTTTGACAATGTTGGAGTTTAAACTTGCCCCGTGGGCATTTTTGTGTTCTTTAGGTATATTTGTTGGCTTCAGTTTTGATTAAGTGTTTAAAAGCTGTAATGTATAATTTTATTCTGAATGATATTCTTTTTCTGAAAGCTATCAGAAGTCATTGAAATACTGATGACACTGTTGGCTTGAAATAGTTTCTTTTAGTAGCATCTATGAATGTGATACAGCCATAGTGTATCACTTTATAATTCAATTCAAAATGTTTTTAGAGTAGGTGTGTATGGGGGTTTCACTGTTAATGCCACAGGCTTGATTATAGGAGCAGACAACTATTCTAGAACTATCTCAGTTAAGCAACTCTAAGTATCATTCTTAACTGTCCTAGTAAAACAGGTCATGACACACTATTTTTCCTACCCATGAAATTTATCAAAACTGTGAGATAAAATTGGTGCAGTTCATGGATAGATGAGTATCAATGACACCGTAACTGTGCATGTTTTCCCAGTGTTACTGAAACATTGTAGTACTTAAAAACTCCACAGGTGTATGCTCCAGTAAACTATCATGCCACTGAGGATGCAGGATTTGTACAGATGGAATGTGCTGTTCCAGAGCCCACACAGTTGCCTAACAGCCCACAAAAGGTAAGTGCTTTCTCAAAACTTTAATGTTCTTCATCATAAATGCTATTCCCAGAAATTTGCACGAGGGTTATGTAGCTTTGTCAAGGACCCTGGACAAGGTTATAGTTGCTGCTTTCAGCCAGTTGTTAAGTTCCGTATATCTGATTTCTGTGTGGAACTTCAGAAGTCTCACATTTCCTTGAAACTGTTAGTGCTTGTTTGCAGTGCTGAGGGCTGCATAAAGTGTGTGTTCCTCTTGATTAAGACTTTTTTCCACAAGACTTGGTTTAATCTGTGGAAATTCTAGGGGAGAATTACAGGTACTAAAAAAAAGCAGATTCAATAGCACTGCCTACTGTCTTAGGTAGATTTATTTTAAGCTTCAAATGTCTGAGTTGGTAACTTTCTCCTTTTCTCACTATTTCGTGGAAAATGGCCCCAGTTTAGCTAATAGTTGGCTCTGAATTCAGTTTCCTAAAGGAGAAATTTCATTTCTCAGCTGTTAGCCTAATCCACAAGAGAACTGGCATGTCACTGATTAGAATTGTTACACTGTAACACTGAAGTGGGCTAGTGAGTTATTAATATTAAAAGATAAAGGGGGAGAAAATTTACAGATACCTCAGGAAACACAAGGCAGTTGAGGAATCCTGATTGCAGAGTAAACCCTGTGACACACTGGCATTGCTAGCTAGTAATGCCCTAACTAAGAAAATGAGTATTGATGCACCTGTAACTGTATTTCAGAAGTCTGTGGACAGGGGTATGCAAACAGTATTATCCTGTCTGTCTAATCCTGAGAACCAGCTGACAAATGACTTTGTATCACAAGACAACAATGTAAAGGTATGTAGTAAAAGCAAAATTATATCCCTGAAACATAGCTGACCTTCAATGTGTTCACATACAGGATACCATAAAGATGAAGGGATTCATATCTGTGAATGCCACTTCCTTGTACATGCTCTGAGATGTGTGGGTTTGGCTCTCAGTTGCTTAATGGTGGAAAGAAGTGCTGAAATTGGATTCAGTGGGTTTAATCAGACAGCATAAAAAATTGCTGAACGGTCAAGTAATGAACAGTTAGAACATAAGTTTGTCTGGCTAGTCATTTCTCAGTGACATGGCTGAAAGCAGTAGATTGCTCCCTAGTTTGGACAGATAGTCTGTACAGTGAAGTAGCCACTGTGGATGGTGGCTAGTTATGCTTTGTCTCTGCTTTAACCAATAAATATGTCCAAGTTGGTAGCTGGTTGTCACTTTTTTGGTGTGTGTTCAGTCTTTGTAGATTTGCAATTTCTGATTACTATCCAAGTCATGTGTAATTTAAGGTTATTAATTTCTAAGACCTTGCTTCCTTTTTGTGCAAGGATAGATAGGTGAACTGGACAGTTGTGCTCTGAAATGGGAATGCAAAAGCTGTGTTTTGTCAGTTTTGGAGAGGGGTGAATAGAGTACAGGGTGTCTGGAAATAGTTTTCATGAAACTTTGGTTGCTTTATTCTGATTAATTGAATTTTTTTCTTGTCCTCTCTTCTATCCCATCCCAGGAGAATAAGACATTCCACTTGAGAAAAGGAAGGACAGTACACAAAAACATTTGATCAACAAAGACTTCAAAGTACCTAAATTAATGACCTAGATGGTACTTCAGTTCAGTTTAGCATTACAGAGTGTAACAATTTCTCCAAGATACTTCAAGTAATGCTTGTGCTCATGTTCTACCTGTTTTGATACTGTTGTTGTTGCTTGAATAGTTTGAAGTTGTAAGAGTTGACAAACTTCAGTGTTACTGTTTGTGTGCTTCCCCTGATAAAAGACTGGAATGTTGGAGAGTTTTATGTGTTTGCTGTATGTGGATTTTTCTCTGAGCTTTAAGGTACAGTTTGCATATTACATGTGTTTTTTTGTTAACTACAATTTGACTCATACTGACCACTTAACTCCTGCCGTTTAGAAATGGAAGTAGTTATTTGCCCAAGAGAATGTATTTTAAGACTGAACTCTTAAATCAGTGCAAAAGAAGATGAGAAGTTGTAACTGAGCTGAAGCCCTGTAAGTCCTGGTTGCCTTTAGACGACATAATCAGTGTGATTATGTTCATTGATGACAGTCTATGTACCTGCAGTCTTGAAAATCAGTATTATTTTTGGGTAAATAATGAAGGGAATCCTGAAATTTCATGTATGTAACTCAAAATGCAAGAATGTTATCTGTATTGGACACTCAGCCAATACAAGTTTTTTTTACTTGAAAAGTATTAGCAATACCTGTATTTTAAACTTCTGAGAAAACACTGCACTTAAATAAGCCTTTGTTATGTGATGCAAACTGTTAATCAAAGAATATGTGTATGACTGTTTTAATAATCATGTAGATTTTAGGTGTGTATTGTGAAACAGTGAAATAAATTTTTACTTTTCTTTGGTTTCCTAGATTTCTGGTGTGCCAAATCTAAATAATAACTTAGCTGTTAAAAAAAACTGTTAAAAACTTACTACTCTGTGTGAGATTTCCAGTTGCTATAAATCTATAGCAAACTTTCATTTTGCATAGATACTAGCTGAAGTTTAAAAGGAGTAGAATTGAGAAAACAGTCTGGTATGTTGGGTCCTAGATTGCTTTTTTTTCCCTCCTACTCAAACACCTCAATCTCTCCAGACAATTTAAGAAAACTATTCCTGTCTTGTTAAGAATGCATATATGAGTCTGTTTAGGACTGCATGTTCAGCTTCAAATTTCCAGAAGGTTTAGAGATAGTAATGGCTAAACAAAGACTTGGCTAGAAATACATGTTAGTGAAATATCCAGAAGGGAACTGGATATGTGAGGGAATATGGCTAGAGCAAATGTCCATGGACTGCTTCTCAAGAGTGTTCTGGATAAAATTTTATTAAAGGAGGGTGGGGAAGAATGTTACAAAGCTGAAAAAAGTGGTGAAAAAATTATCAGTGTGCTGATAGCATAAATTAACCTGGAAAAAGTAAAGCCCATACTAATTTCTGTACTCACTCTTTCATGTTACTGAAGATAGTATTAAGTGTTCCCATGATACTGATTTGCCACGTTTTTCTCAGACTGCTCTTTTAAAGGTAGTGGTTTGATTGTGCTTAACTTCTGTGTTAGCAGCTTTTTTGCAAGGGCTTTTCCAGTATTGAATTGGGACCCTGTCCCTTCCAACTTTCAGTATCTAAACAAGCCTGCATGTGCTTTCAAAGCTGTGATGTCAGTTTATTGATAAAAGGTAGCTGTTTCTTTGCAAATGCAGGTTTCTTTTTGGCTTGATGTTTTAGGTTGGCTTGGTTGCCCCAGGCCTTACCTGAGGCTTTCTGCTGTAGCTCTAAGAAAGTACGAAGGGCCCTATGCATAACTGTCTCATTGAAGATGTCCCACCACCAAAAGAAAAGCTTAAACCTGAACATGTCTACACAGAGTGCATGTTTTCTGTTTATTTGACTGAGTGTTACACACAGGACCATCTTTCATTGAAATGGTCATACTAGATTTACAGACATGCTGAGAGGTTTTATTACAGGGGAATAGCCAAGGCCTTCTAAGTACCAATTATTTTTTCTTCCATTAGATCATGTTCATCTTAGATAGCTGGTTCTGCTAGCTGCTTACCTGTAGAGAATTGATTTTTTTTTTCTTTAGTTATAACTAAACCCATGCCTTTTTAATGTTCTTTTGAAGTACTATATAACACATAACATAAAGCATAACAAAACTAATAGGTAAGTCTCTTTACCGTTGCGTTCAGAAAGCTGAAACATCTGTTTAATATTGCTATGACTGAAGGCATTTCCAAAATTAGTGCAGGGTTGGAGCATTTTGCAAATTTGTACCCCTTGTATTCTTAAATCAAGTGGACCATGTTAACTGAACTAGCAGGAGTAGCGAGTCCTTGTGCATCTGCATTTGCTTGCACACAGTATCTACATTCTGGGAGAGACTCAAAAGCTTTGGGTGTACTTTAAATATTAAAACAGCTCTTTGCCAAAAGAAACAATTGCTTAGACAAGATAGAAAAATACAGTGCTTGCATTTAATTGGTATTCTAGAGCTATGGCATTTGGTTTGTTTTATGGTTCTTGCCTGAAATATCCCAGTTTGCTGTTTGATAGCCTTTTCATATCTTTTTACACATTTTGCCACCTGACAGAATTATTCTTGGAATGAGACAGCCAGACAGATGGTATTCTTGGATCTCCATTAGAATGATTGTCTGGCACAGACACTAATTCCCTGTCAAAATGGAAATATTTTTTTTCCTTCTAGGTATTTGTGTGCTAAACGAAGTTGCTAAACTATCTTAATCTGAAGGTGATGTGGTCCTTTATTGCTACAAAGAAACAAAAGGGTTTTCCCTTATTTCATGGGTGTTTTTTTGTATACTTTACTGAAAGAGATTTTTAAAGTCCTGTAATGGTTCTGCATTCTGTATTCCTTGCAGGAATGACTTTCTAGACCAATATTTTAGAAGAGATATATAATTTAAGAGCTTTAATGTCTGCCACTTTCAGTGTTGCTAAGAAAGTTAAAAAAAAATGATCCCAAGCTATTAGGAAAACTGAGATTTCTTCAGATAGAATATGCATTTCGAAAATCCTTAAGGTAGCTTTACAACCCAGATGGATTCTTACTTCCAACTTTATTGTTTCTGCTGTAAAATTTGGGCTGAACCTTGGGAGACAAGCTCATACTGTAACTTCTTTTAAAGGAAAAGGCCCCAGATAAGTTCAAAAAGGCCTTTGTATTGTCCCAGGGACTATTCAAGCTTTAACTTTGGTGAGTAACTGTAAAGGGTTGGTCTGTTTGTTTTTTTGTTTCCAAAAAAACATGGATTTTGTTTGGTGGGGGTTTTTTGTTTTGGGTATTTGGACTTCTTTTTCCTGAGTAGTGTGAACTTCTGTGTAGTGGGTGCTCAAGACAAATATGAAAAAGGGTTTGCTGTTCCTTCACTTCAAGGTTATGAGACTGTAGGAAGTACAGAAATGAAGGCAGGATTTATATTTATAAATATGTTGCTGTAGAATATTTATGCTGCTAGTCCAAAAGCAATTATTGTATAGTTATTCTGATATTAATTATCTCAAAATTTCTAAATATGTACTCAAATAAAGATGTATGCTGTAGCTAATATATTGCTGATGTAGTGGGATATTAGTAGTACTACTTAAAAAGACAGTACTGGTGTGTCAGCAGTACCTCTTCTCAGGGTGTGTGTATCATGCCCTTTAAGCTTATGTTCACCTTTCCCTGTAAGTAGGTATTCAGATTTCTGGGTATTGTTTGAACTGCTTGGTGTTTATACTAGATACCTTAAAAGATCCTTTCCAACCCAAACTGTTCTATGAGTCTGTCAAGGAGTCTGATTTCCCCATCCCCATTCAGGATCACACTGGATTTAACCTCTAGGCTGTCTTAAATTTAGAAGAATAATGTTTTGCTGTGTGGTACGTTTTTTGTCTAGAACAAACTTAACCAAATCTTTTCCCCCATTATTTGGTTTGTTCCTTTATGAATGAATGTACAAGGAACTTTTAAACTTCTTATAAAGTCTTCCTAGAACAATTTAGGAGGTTGTCGTCTTTTTCTAGAAAGAATTTGTGCTAACAGCTGTAATTAACTTGTGGTTTATTTCATAGGATGGCTTGGCTTGGAAGGGACCTGTAAAGTGCATCTAGTGAACCCCCTTGCAATGACCAGGGATATATTCAACTAGATCAAGTAATTTGAAGCCCTTTCCACTCTGACCATAAATGTTCCAAAGGGTGGGTCATCACCACTCCTGTTCTTGTCTCACAGGCTTATGGAAGAAAATTTCTTCTTTCTGTCCAGTATAAATCTGCTGTCTTAGTTTAAAACCATTACTCCTCCTATTACATCTTGCCCCTACTAAAATGTCTCTGTTTTTATTCCATGTTCCCTTTAGTATTGGAAGGCCCCAATAATGTCTCCCTGGAGCATTCTTTCTGGGGTGAGCAATCCTAGCATGTTCTGCCTGCTAGGAGAGGTTCTCCAGCCCTTTGATCATCATTATGGCCCTTTCTCTGGACTTGCTCCAACAGGTCCTTGTCTTTCCTATGCTCAGTACTCCAGGTGGCTCCAGTACTCCTGGCAGGGTTTCACCAGAGTGGCAGAATTGCCTCCTATGGGGGGAAAGAGGAAAAACAACCCAGTGTTTTGGCCTGTGTCAGTTGATAGGGTCATGTACTGCTGAGTTGTGTAGCCATCCAGTTCTTAGCATAAGCTGACTTTATTATCCCTGAGTGTAAGGAAGCAGTTAAATTATTAAAATGGGATTAGTGGCTCCTATATATCACAAAAAGATAAACATGTCTTTTGTAAGACACGTAAAGGGGATCGTATATACATATGGTGGAGTAATCATAGAGAAATGTGTTCTGGGCACACGCATTTCAATTTCTAGCTTTTAGGAGGACAGTGAGGCAGAGAATAGGATATGAATCGATCAGAGGCTGTACACTAAATCCGAATCATCCAGGTTGGAAAGGATCTTTGAGATTGAGTTCATTCTGTTCAACTAACACTGCTGAGTCCAACAACAGTCTCCCCAAGTGCCACATTTTCTCAATACCTG